CACACACAAACACACACACACACGAAGGTCCTCCTTCCACAAGCTCTATGTCTTTTATTACTTCTTTAATATTTTTCTGATTAATATTTTTCGATTGTCTGTATCTGAATTTTCCCATGTAATTGGATATGGCTCCACCTGACATATCCAAACACCCACCATTGGGCAGTCAGAGAGTGGGAACTACTCTATAAGTAATATGCACATATCTAGGTGACACGAGTTAAGTTCCTGCTGCAGCAATTTATCAATTTCATACAAAGCAGAATGACTGCTGTGGGAGAAGCTACAAGAATACTTTCCAAGAAGCCTTCCCTGACCCACTGGTTTTAGGCACTTGTCTTCCAACTCCCGTAGGAAATCATGTCAAGACAGGATCTGCACTGACATATCCTATATTTCATTGGAGGGCTCTAGCCATTGGGATGTGAAATTGCCATTACTTCCTTGCTAAGCTTAAAGTGGAAAATGGACTGAACAGACTTGAGGAATCACCACCAGAGAGATATCACGGTTATGAATTACAGGAATGCACAAGACACAGGGAGAACAAGAAACATCTTCCATAGGCCAGGTTCAGCCACTTACACCAGTAAGCACACAGAACACACTGGATTAGGTGCCTTCCCACTCAATCCACAGACTTTTGCTTCTTAAACTAATGCCTCTCCCTACATTGTACATAGCAGCATTCTTCAGCCTTTTTTTTGTTAGAAGAAAATATGTATCCTTTTAGTTTGAAAATGATACCGGGAATATCTTACTTGGTAAGCTAGATGGAACAACAAATAAAGCAGGAGGGATTTAAGTAAATTTAAAAAAAACAACCAAAAAACTTTAAGAAAATCAGTTTATTCTTATAATTGCAAACATTTTATTTAAACTGTTTTAATATGAATATCCTGTTACCACTGGGCACTCAACAATGCTAAGTGGTACTGACAAGTACTTGCTAAGGGGATTTGATTGACTGTGTTTTGTTTTTCTGTTTTAATTTGCAACTGCTTCATGGACCAGTGCACCACAATCAAGTTAGCAGTTGCATAGAAAAGTGGTGACGTAGCTCAAGGACACGTCTGTAAAAAGGTGGCAGAAACTTAAATATAGGTATTAAACCTGAGTATCTAACCATCCTGTCATGCTAACTGGAAGTAATTTGTCGAAGGCCACAGAGAAAATCAATGGTAAAGCAGCTGCTGAAACCAGTCCTTCTAAGTGCCAAGCTCATGGCCTCAAGCTATCTTCTCTCTTACACTGCTCTATGCAAGGTGACATGAATTAACCCTTTAAAAACAGGGTGCCAGCAACAGACAGGTTTAAAAGAAGAGTTGTGAGAAGATTTTAGAGAAAGCTGCTTGTACATGGATCTCTACCTGCCACACTCACATACACCTACAAATCAGTTGTTGAGTCCTCCTAGTTTTCATTTGGTTTCAGCTTTTCTCCTTTTATCTCCCACAGCTGAGCACCTCCCCAGCCCACTCTGAGTCCCTTATTATGGGCTACAGAGTATTTTGGTGGGCATGGGTGCAATTCATTTCTCTTCACAATTTCTGTTCTATGAGAAACTGTTGGTGTATTAAAACTTCTTGCCTTATGATGAGGAATAAGATAGGAATAGCAAGCTGATTCCCAAATGTCTGAAAGTGGGAAACATTAGCCTTTCCTCTCAGCTCATGCCTGCAGTTTCCCCACAGTCTTGTCCATCTCACCATCACAGACTGCTCAAACACTTCTGCCCTAACACAGCATTTTATTGCTTCCTTTCCTTCAGCAGCAAGACTACACCACAGACAACTGGCTGCCAGCTTATGTGGTGACCACACTATAAGCAGCTTTAAAGTGTCTATAAGCAGTTATAAGTGTAAAAGGAAAGTTAGAGCTTGATTTCTGAGGACATGGAGGACAGCACTGGTTGGAACCAATGTTGTTATGAAATGAACTTACGCATTGAAGCGAGCCCGTACCACCACTCGGCAGAAGTTCCTGAATCTGTGCTCGCGGCCAACTATGAAAAGGGGTTTATCAAAATACGGGTGATTCTCTCGCAGCTCCTCCTCCTGGACTTTCCTTTTGAAAAAAAGTAAATTATCAAGTGTTACACATTATCCCTGGCAAAAAATATCCCTTACACTTTGTACTCTTTTTCATGTTGACTCTTAACACTTTTAACTTCATACAGAGAATAGTTAATACAGAAAATGTGAGCTCAGACTTTTGATTTTTAAATACCTTTTCATTTCAGCTTGTTCCTTTTTTTCTTGGATCATCTTTATCTCACTGTCTTCTCTCTGTGCATTTCTGTATCTCACTGTGTTGGAGTGCTGGAAGCAAAATGATTCCTTTTAATCGAGGTCTAAGGGTTGTTATTTTTTAATGTTTCAGATGAAAGTAAGATATGGTATTTTACATAGAAATATTCAAATGAAAGATCTTTATTTCCAAATGTACTGCACATCAACTCATTCAAGCATATTGCATAGTATTTTCTATCTACAGCTTAAGGCTCCTTATTTTCATCAAGGTTAATTTCAGTTCTAATTTCATGCTTGAGGCTCCATCCAATCTAACTTTTAACTTTAAAACCAGAGGTCCTGTAAGACCAGCCAACCTCTCTGAACTGCAGTGAATACAATCAAATTTACTAAAGGCAAAGACTGGGAAAGAAAAGGCTTTAGACACCCTTTCAGCTTCTCAAGTCTTCTGTATGGCTGCCAGACTATGAGGCATGCAAATCATACAGTTAGTGACTGCTGAGTGCAGGGATGAAGGAGAGAGAGGGAGGGAGGGAAGGAGGAAGGCAGGATGCTGTCTGAGCTCATGCAGAGGAGGGAACAATCAGCATTACTATTCTGAGTTATGTGAATCTTTGAAGCACTCCTGGTGGGGTAATGCTGGGTGATATCCTTACTGTTAGATACTAGCAAAGCCACATCTGCTTTAGCTACCTTTAAAGACTGAGATAGTTTGGAAATGGGGTGACTAATATGCTTCTTGAAATTTTATTGCTACAGAGATCCACAAAATATCATATGAATTTGCAGAAATGAATACGCTCTTAACTGCATGAAATTACACAACAGTGAAATCCATGATTACTATTCTCCCTTTTAGTCTTTGTCCCTTTGTATGACAGTTTTGCTGCTTGGAAAATATTGCTAAACTTCCATCAGAAATTTTGAAGTGCTGTTTTGCCAGCCTGAGTGATTTGTATAATTCCAGAGTAACGCTTTTTAAGGTGTCCTGGGCAGCAATTGTTGTGTTCCTAATGCAGTGTCTACAGATTCAGTGAATCTGTCTCAGCAAGTGTTCCAAAACCATAATTCTATCAATGAAACAACCATTTCAATTATTTTGAGGATAATTCTAATGCAGTTACAGCATTTGTCTTATGACTTCCTTTCAAGATTTCAAAAGACTAATTGCAAGCAAGCTCATAAATAGAATTAGTCTTCCACAGGGATTAATTTGAATTAAAAATATATTTTTTAATATATTCTAATTTCTTGTATTCTCAAGCTGAAACCAGCATTTCTATGAGGACTTACATCTTGAGTCAATGTTTCAAGAGATTTTCCTCTGCTGATTCGCTGGCTGTTCGAACCATGTCTCAGTGACCTGAAACAATCATAATCAATTTAACAATACATCTCAAGATGAAATTTTGACCTTTATGAGATGACCATTATAAAGCACTTTTCTCCAGCCACCCAATATCTCAAATTCTTATCATTTTTCTCTTGCTAACATCAGAAGCTTATATGCTCTTCAATTGTTTTCAATCTCGTCTAACATAAGCCAATTTCTTTTCTTCTGATCTTTAAATTGATAGCTTTGTAGTCGGCAAAGGAAATGACATTTGAAATAAAAAGGCATTTTTTTCCATTTATACAGTACAATGAATTTCATTATGGTTACAATGAAGAATGGTGAATTCAGTTCTTTGCACAAGGAGGTAGTTTTGGCTTTTCACATGTTAGGGATTGCTCAAATTTATTTCCTTTTGTTACCTTTATTTTAAGAATATTTTAAAACCACCCCTTCAGTCCATTTTTACCTGCGTTCTTGTCGTATATGATGCTGGACACTAAGTATTGACCTCTCCTTTGCTGGCTGCCCCTCAAATGATCCGCTCAGCATACGTTGTCTAGTGCAGGCCCTACAAAGAAATGTAAAGATGATGACACGGAGTTTTCAGTATAAATGATAATTTCTGAGGTAGCACATTCAGAGAAATCAGCTTGGCTTTATGGGAAGCAAGTACTTCAAGAACAAAATAAAGTAACAGTGCAAGAGCAATGGACTTTCCATGAAAATATTCCCAAAGCAATGGGCTCCCACTCTGCAACCCAACTGGTCATCTGATGAACCTTTTCCACACCTTAGCAAGGACCATCTATGATTTTTTTTCAGTTTGCTGTAGAATTTTTGGTCCCTCAAGACTTGACTAAGTGTGGAAGGGGTCAAGCAATGCACTGACCATCAGTAAAATCAGTTTCTCAACAATAAAGAAGGGACTGGAACAAGTACAACAGCAATTTTAGTCCCTTTCAGGACTATACATACACACTTAGGACCTAGAACATAACTTGGAGTGTTCAAAACAACTGGAACTCTATCTGATATGAAATGAAAAGCCGCACATTGTGATATTCTGCAATATGAAATGTCTGCTCTCTGGTAATGCAGTCAACTTACAGCAATTTGTTGTGTGAGTGTTCTCACTTGTTTGTTCATAATTCATTTTGTTTTTTGCTTAATTTTGGCAAACACATTTTACACATTTTGGCAGAAATGAGTATTTGTTGGCCAGTAAGTGTACCACAGCTAAACAGAGCACGCATATCTTTATCTTGATGGCTACAATGAAATTAATTTGCTTATGAAAGAGAGGTTTCCACTAAAAGAGCTCAGACAGATCCCTCTGATAGCTGAGAAAAGGAACTTCAACATTGGAAACATATTTTAACTTTCCAGAATTGTTCAATTAAAAGTTTACACTGTGTGTTCCTTATTGCTCATTTTGTATTATGAAACCATTTAGAGAAATACAAGACTCAGCTGGTAATATTCCATATTTTTTATTGAACTGAATCTTTACTTTTTTTTCTGAAAAGATGAAAACAGCTCTACACCCTTTGTGTAACCACTCTATCTGCCAGACTGTAAGGCTTAGATAAATGCCTTGACAGCATGGGATGATCATGCTTGAACTCAAAAGGTGTCCATGACATGTTCTTTTTCCACTGTGGTTTTGTTTTTCACTCTTCTCCACTTTTTCTCCTTCTTTTGGATTTAAACACATAAATGATACAAGTAGGAATCCAAAGTGATATCTGGAACAAAAATGAGAAGCTTAGAATGTTTGTCAGTGTCACCACTGCCAATCAGATTAGCATGCTAGAAAAATACGTTGTGCTACACTTGTTATAGAAAGCATTAGGTTACACTACACTGAACTAAAGTATCATGACATATAAGAAAATTACTGTATGTCTTATAAAACACAGCTCATCTTAGACAAACAATGAACATTTTACTACCAAAGAATTTTAAGCATTATATTGTGGAGGATGATACCACATGACACTGTCAGAAAACAACCGAGATATTTGAATACCTTAGCAATTTTTGATTGAATAACAGAAAAAAAAAGAAAACAATTATTTCCTAAAAATAGATCCTGTCTCACTCCATTAAAATGATGATCCAGTTTCTCCCAGCAGAGACAATGAAAAGTTCTGGGGTCTGACTTCTGTATAGAGGCTTCTTGGTGTGACAAAGAGGGTAACTTATCTCTTTTTTTTATCTTTTCTTCTAGATATGAATTATTATGCTCTGCTTCTAATAGCTAAAAATTATTTTCTTGACATCAAAACGTAACTTGTACATAAACTTTTCATGCTCTTGTACATAGCAACTTGAATTCCATGTTACATAGACAGTGTTCATAATAAAAGTCAGCTTTAAATGCTTAAGTGATAAATTCTTTACCCGAATAATGAACAAGATGGCTTATTTGATTGTTAATAGTGTTGTGAAATAGACATATACTGTGGGCATACTATGGCAGAATGGGAATGCATAAAAAGTAACACCTGTAGAAAGACTTAGTATTGTTTATGGTCTCTAAGTTCTGGAAGCCCTGCAGCTCTTGTGAAGTCAACAGAGAAATAATGAAATACGAGTTGTTTAGCACAGAGATCAGAAATTTTTATCAAGCAATTGCAAAGAAACATTTTTGTATTTCCAGAGAAAAAGATGTGCTGAAAAGGCCTTGTCTACTTTAAACAGCTTCTCTCCTGGCATTCTCCACTTTATGGGAATTAGTGCCTTGAAAATTAATCTTCCTTGTATGAACTCTTAGTAAGAGCCACACTTAGTTATCCTTTTGACTCAGAATCTGGATATTTTTCAGCTGCTTTGGCACGTAGAGTTGCAGATCTTTGGGGACCTTTGATAAACATGGTAGGTGCCATGTATTTTTCAGACTTTCAGAATTGCCAGTTTTAAAGTCTGCAATAGGGTTTGTGTTCTCATTGTAGACATGTACATGTGCATGCTTCCTCTCAGTGCCTGCCTGTGAGCCACTTGTCCAAAGTTTTAGCCAACTCATAGCCAATGGAGGCATAGGACCCAATTAAACTGGCTGTACAGAGGTGGCCAGCACCACCTGCCATGCCTTGGAGTATTGTGCTTTGCTTCCAGCTGCTGTTCCAGCAGAATGCAATATCCCTACAAGTTTGTGTATTCCCTGCTATCTTCCAGAGGATGTTTTGGACATACCCTTTCATCTCACAAATTACTCAATGTCCATATGTGAACAACTTCATTGAATGCTTGGTAAATTATTTTAATTAAAGATGTTTGGAAGGTATTAAAGTAACCACAAATTTGGCATCTAAAAACAAAGCAGTCAGGTAATGATCTCACTGGGCTCCGTTACCTTTATTGGTTAGACTTTTGTCAACTAGATGGTAGAGTTCATCCCTTAGCTTACAGGCAGATTGGGCTACCTGGAGTTGAATCCCACACCAGGCACAATCAACATGCCACAGTGTTAAGAATTCAGTCCTATGTGGTTTGAAAATTGGAGTTTTTAAAAAACACTTTTCTTGCCTTGATACATTTTTATGTAACTGGAGCTGGTCAGAATCTTTTGACCTTTCTTCAAACAATAGATACAAAATTTCCCTTTTTAGTTAAAATTGCCCTTTCCATCTTCCTATACCACATTGCTGAAATATTAGGTTTATTTTCACTAGTGAAGGAATAAGGAAGGTATGAAACAAAGGAGAAGAGACAAGAAACATGCCAGCCCTCTGGATTTTGTACTCACCTTGCAGAACTCTGAACACAGTTCAGCAGCTGCAAACCACACATTCCAAATTTGCCTTGAAAAGTGCAAATGTAATAAAATAGCCTGAAAGAGAAAATGCAATTTTTTTAGGTAACCAGAAAGTGAGGTGAAGATCACACAGAACAAGACAATACTGGTATACCGTGTAGTTTGTATTACCTGCAACCAATTAGCAGGTCCACATATTTGAAGTCTTTCAAACTATTTCATGCTTTGGAATTCCTGAAAAATAAGTCATGAACAGAGTGTTCAAGTACCATTCTTTGACCAAATGTAAAATGTTAAAGGTTTTGATCAGTAATTCGAAATACTATACCTTTCATGAGTATTCTGAGGTCTCTTGCAGAGGGCAAGCATGTGGCTCATGCTTTTCAGTCAGGCATCCTTTCTGCAAAATTGTTCACTCATCTTGCATTCCGGTATAACACTGCTTTGTTTGGTTTTTTTTCTGTATTTTAATGAGTGAGTATTTACGTAGTAATTGTAGAAACTACATATATTACTATGTACTTTTGTTGTTCTCTCTGAAGCATGCTCACATAGAAGCCTTAGTAGTCTGGTGAACTCCAGTGCAGTTATCAGCATCATTCAGCACTGTTTTCACTCTCTAGGACTCTCTATCCTTACTAAATCTTTCTATGTTCTCATTGTAATTCCATATAACTTGGAGTATATGGTTAAATGTGACAGCCTAAGATTCATAGGGACTCCACCTGAGAGGCACTGTAGTGTTTCTTTCCTTCATTTTTAAATTTAATTTAGTAAGGTGCTTTTTAAAGAGCAAGCACAATGAACACTTTCACCACATCTACAGTACTGTTCTTTGTGGGAAAAAGATACTATTTTTAATAGAAATCTGAATATGGCTGGTGAAATAAGATGGATTATTAATACAATTGGGAAAGTCAGTATTTTTTCTTTTCTATGTTTTTTCTTGTTTCCTTTCTCATGTCTCTAAAGCAAAAAAAACAAATAGTCACTTATTTTCTTTAGTGACTGCTCAGGCAGTTGAGCTATGGTAGGAGACCTTTTCTTCAGCAATTTTTATTGTGATTATCATTTTTGCCTTGCTGTTTCAGCTTCTCCTCTCACAGATGTTTATATAATAACAATTTTTATTGGACTGTAGAAGAATCAATAAAAGGAGTGCAGAAGAAGAAACCTCAAGTGGCTATCCAGTCTACCACCTCTCTCAGAATGGGATCAGTTCCATACCTGCAGTGTTGGAGACTCCACAGCCCAAAATCTCTGCTTCACAACTGTCCTTTGCATTGATGCACAACGTGGTGTTCATTTGGCACAAACCCCATGAAACAGAGTAACTTATTTCCAATGGAAATGTGCATTCCAGTCTTTCTTTTTGTTTGTCTTTGCATCAGGCAGGTGAAATCCAGTGATACCGTAGAGATTTAGGAACGTGGTGACTAAGTTTGGATTTTGCATGGAGTGACAACAATCATCAATGGAACTTACCTGGAACATTTGTTCTGAGAAATGCATGGGGTCAAACCCTCAAGGTTATGAAGAAAGAAATCACATTCTTAAGAGAGAAAACATAAAATATATGGCAAGAATTTTGTTGCAAGTGAGTCAGAATCAACTAATACAAGTCAGTTATTTAACAAAGACAAATTTCTAATAAAGGATACCAAAGGTGTATCTTCTAGGATCAGAGAATCATAGAAACATTTAGGTTGTAAATGATCTGTGCTCATTCTCTGTATTTGTGTTCAGGGAGATTTTATTTAGTGATAAACTTCATAGCTTTCCTAGAAATCACTGTATTTTGCAGAAATACTTGTATGAACAAAGTCTGAATTATCTTCTAGCATATTAACAAACTAGAATAGGATACTTAATTCAAGCAATTCTTTCTCCCCTCTCTCTCTTCTCTGTGCCTCTCCTGCCCCCAGCATTCTCAGTTTCAAACAAAAGATAAATGCACTTCATTCAGTTAGTTGTTTATGAAACTGAATATTCCACTTAAGCCTGAGTTATGTTACTCCCTCAGGACCAGGAAGCACATCAGACAAATCTTGTCTAGAACAGTGAAAATCCTATTGCACACCCCTGTTTAATCAGTTTATGGCTTTACTATAGCATCAGTTGTAATGAAAAGCAAATAAAAAGCTGCCCATTTTGAAAAAAAAAAAAAAGTCCCTTTGAACCTCAACCATTCTCTAATTCTGCAAAGCACAGTTTAATTCACACCAGAATCGGGTTTTGCAGTATTGGCACTTTGATTGTATTCTGGACTATGTGAATATGTGTTATTCTCATTTTCCCCACCATTCTGTGCTGTTTACAACTTATCCTCAGCACTGGAGAGAATGAACTGATTTCTACACAGCATTTTGACTGGACCTGCTCTACTCTCTCTATTTCAGAAAGCCAGTGGGACTAATAAAGGACTAGACCTCACTCTTAGATAACAATCGAGCAAGGAATGAGGGTCAGAAGAACCACTGGCACAAAAATTGCTTTTAAGAGAAAAAGCAGTGTTTGCACCAACACAGAGTGAGAGAAAAGCGTGAAGCACTGAAGGTATGCAGGAGAAAGTAAATTTGCTAGAAGTGGTTATTGCTGCTAAGGGAAATGCATTGCAATTTTCACAAAGGAATGGAGCTGATTGCAATTCAGAGGCTCTATTAAAATGGATCTTGTTTTGAAAAAGTTTTTCTAAATGTCTGTAAGTCACTTGTACTTTATTTAATTTTTCAAGGTTGAAGTCTCCACTTCAGAATGGATTTATGGTGAAGAGTTAAGGCTTTCATGCTCTGGCCACTGGCATTGGTGATGCAAAGCACTGATCAAAGTTCCAGAACAGTAGTTGCTACATCCTTGAGTTGGTTCCCATGCCTAATTGCACAAAGACCTCAAGGAGGCAAGGTGAAGGTTGGCTTCTAAACAAGGATTCTCAGAAATGAGACACTTCCCTAGGGGTGCAGCAAGAAAGCTGCAGGAAAACAAAGATACCCAAGACATCAGATTTGCTGCACAATGTAACAGCAGATGAGCAGGTGAGACAGCTGGGACTGAGTGCATGAACCATCTCTCTTGGTGTTCAAAGGCTATTACTGTCCTTCTGCCTCATCTTGGGGAAGAAGATGTCAAGCTGAAGTTCAGCACATAAAAGGGATAAATGAAGATTGGATAAAGAAGGATGCACAAGAGAAACATGAAGGCTATGTGTAATGCATGGTCCTCATATACAGTTTGCTGTATTGAAACATTCACAATTTTATTAAAAAATAATTTGGCAAGGTTTTAAAGGTAGGGGGGGTGGAAGATCAGAGGTGGATTTAGGCTGGAACTGACTTAAAATTCCCTTTCAGCACATCAATTTTATCAAGCTGAAGTTGCCCCTGGGCAGCTTTACATATAGAGGTATTGCTTTAGAAAAATGCTTCTTAATTCAGGTAGACAAAAATTTAAATTATGCTAGAAGCAATCTTTTCAGAAGGGAAATTCTGAGTTAACTCTTATTGTTCTTGGCAGAAATGACATTTCTTCTTTTGTCAGATAATCTGAATACTTGAGAATCACCTACTTTTATGAAGGAGTTTACAGCATTCACAACTAAAGCAAAAATAAGAACTATAATCTCTCATGTGTTGAGAATTTGAATTTTCCTGTGTTACTTAAACTGAATCTGAAATTTCAGCTGTAAATATTATCACTTCTTTTCCTGTTTGTAAAATACCCCTGTGTCAACAGGGCTGTCACTGTCATTAACCTGGAAACACTGGCAGTGCTCGGGACCAGTCAGCCCATCACTGGCAATCTCTATCAGTTTGCCCACCAGATGCACCATGAACACAATCTTCTTATGCTGGAACAGATGAATTGCAAGTGTCATTAGATCAGAGCTTATTTAACAGATTTGAGTCACTAAAAAGGAACAATAAGCAGTATTTGTTCTTTTTCTCAGAAGAGAGAAGATTCTTTGTAAGATTCTTTGTAAATCAGCCCAAGAAAGTGTTAGAGGATGTGATCCATGTTTTTCTAATTTGATGGAAGTTCCCTCCTTTTCTCTGTGTTCCTCAAAATTTATTGCTGATGATCCAGGAAATAGATTGGAAAACTCAGTAAATGAAGATTAAATTAACAGAGTAAATAGATAATTAAAAACAAAACAGTAGATGAATAAATGAAAACTTTATTATTCTGCCTCTGAAACTTCAGAGGAATTCAGGTGAATTGATAAGAAGTCCTTTTACATACATGACTTTGGCAGAAGCCATGATCTGAAGGACCAAGTGGAATTCAGCAGGATTGAAATTGGAAGGACTGATTTCTGGTACTTCCTTGCATCTCTGAGAACACGGTGAAGTCCAAACAATTCTTTGCTTGGATTCTCCTCCCACTATTTCAGACTTCTCCTGATAAGGAGAAAGTTCTGTGCTGATGGGGGAATTCTGAATTTCAATTTCCAGAATTTAAGTTTTTCCTCCTATCTAAGAAAGAATGAAGCTTCTACAATATCAGTTTTTTGGTCTTTTTTTAAATTTTTTTTTGTCTACATTTTTGCTTATGCAGTATAGTATATGAAAAACACCAAACAAACTGACATTTGTGGAACCCTGAAGGTGTCAATAACGTTTCACTGTTCTTATATAACAGAGAATTTCATTACAAATGTTCTACAGAAATACTTCCAGGATGCCTCTGTCTAAACCTGTATTTTTAGAAGTATTTTGCTTATTCTATCTGTAACAGTAATTCCTGTGAAATCAAGGCACACAGCTGAAAGAAATGCTTACAAATAGTGCACTAAATTTTGTTAAGGTTGAATACTTACGATATTGCATTTACTTTTATCAATAATATTTTTACAGTGAGTATTCATTTGAATTAGTAATTGTTTACGTTGTCATTACATGGGTTTAAAGAGAGAAGAAGTTTCATAATAATTTCTGCAGTTCTCCCTGTTCTGTATTCTTATAAAGCATTAAAAAGAACCAGAGCTGCAAGACTTCTCAAATGGTTTTCAAGAAACTTCACACAGAAATCACACAGAACCCATTGTGCACTGCTCCTCATTAAACATTGCCTTACTTAACCTGCACTTTTCACATCAGTATTCCTATTAATACAATGTATTTACCTGGCCCCTCTCACTGAAAGAAAACAAGCATCAATATAAAAAACAGTGACCTATAAATTGCTTGCATTATTTGCATTATTAATTCACCAACAGTGGCATGAAAAACTGAAGCACAGAGTTAACTAAATAACTTCAGAATTGTGTCTTGGAGATTTAGGCCTGCATTATTCGCTTATGGTGCTGTGTAGTTACTTGATAAGGAATACCAAAAGGAGTGATCATTATTAAAACATTCAGGAGATCTTTCTACAGAAGCCATGGTTCTGAAATCTTCACTGTCCATTTGGTACTTGGAATATGACTAGCTGTAGTCTATGCTTTCTAGACCACAATCCCTGCACACATTTATGTGCAGATATTTGCAAGAATCAGGTTAGAATTATTTAGGCAAAATAACAGACATGTTTTGGTTAATTCAGAAGGAAGAAGTGAAGAGAGCTAAAATATGATCTTACTGCATGATACAATTGAAATATATACTGAATAAGTACAATCCCTTTCTTTTTGTTGTTCAAGCATATAAAATAGCCAAAGAGCAACTTACCTTTGATAATGAAGGCAATAGATGTACTACAAAGAGATCCACTATTATGAATATTATACATCCAGTAACTGCATGATAAACAAGGTTGTGAGAAATCAGATGACAGTCAAAACAGTATCAAACCACATCTGACTCTTACCTTAGAATTTTATTGATTGCTGTCTCTTTTTCCAGAAGGTTTCTTGCTCTGATGCTGAAAACAGATTTACGGAGCTATAAAATTAAGAAAAAGACAGCATACTTTTTAATTGTCTTAAAATATAACGTGTATGTGACAGAAGAATTAAATATAATGATGCTGAGTGCATAAAAAGGATGGTGGAAAGCAGTCAAAATGCTTATGTACATCTTTTGGCCTTCCAATCCCAATTGTTAGGTAGTTCTGTGTAGAAAGCAGATAGTTTTGCTTGCTAGCAGAAATTTGCTTTATTACACATTTCTTCTCCACTGGGCCAAATCATACTGTTTTGGTACTCCTTCTTCACTTTGGATTTTGACTAGGCTGGATCATACTCTGGAGATGCCTTGATTGTACAAAACAGCCAGCAAACAAAGCTCAGATGTCTAATTTCAATGTCTTTTTTTTTTTTTTTCCCCACAGATGCAGAGAAAAAAATGTGTTGAGCAAAATATGCTTATGCTTGCCTCTGGTCATGAACAGTGTTTCAGGAATCTTCTTGTGAACAGGACTTCCTGAACGTGAAATGAAAGGACTGAGATACATGAAGAAACAAGCAAGTGATTAACAAACATGACACATCAAGGAGCAAACCACAGCTGAAGAATTTAGCTCAGGAATTGCATCTGTGATGAACAGAAAGCCTCTGGCACATGGTAAGATTTCAATCTGTCAACTGTTTAGAGATCGTTATCTTGAAGAAAATGGTTGAGAGAGATTTGGAAAGTCTTAGCAATCTGTGTCCTGGTTTTGATCAATCTGAAATGGAATCTTTAAGCACGTTTCTTTACATGTGCTTTAAATTTTCTAAAATACTAGCTCAAATCAAGAGTAATTTGACAAATAATTTTGCCAGAACTTCTCTGAAGACTCTTATTGACTCTGAGCTGCAGTAAGATCTTACTTTGTAGAGAAACAGAAGCCTAGAAAATACCTTAAAGACTCGCTAATTATACTGGCTGTACTTAATGAAATGGATATTGTTTTTTAACCACTACTCTAACAGCAAACTACAATCTCTTTCCTTCCCTTTGCCTTTACAAGTGTGGCCCCTTTCTCATGTCCTAGCTCTTCTCTGTACAGCCTAGAGAAGCAATAACACAGATGATTTGTAAACACCCTATTCTGAGAATCTGTGGGTTCCTTAATAAACCGGCAACTTGAAAATGGAAATGAAGTATGAACCACTTCAGAATGTAGTTTGGAAAAGGAGGCATTGGAATTTCAGTTAAGATTACAGAAGGAGTAAAAAACTTGTTGAATATTTGAATATAAACAAGAAAAATTTCCATTGCCTGGATATGGTTAACACAA